ATGCTACACAAAACGTGGCGTAGCTAGCCAGGAGGTAGTGAAACAGTAAAAAAAAAAAAAAAAAAAAAAAAAAAAAAAAAAAAAAAAAAATTGTTTTTTTACAGTCTCACCAATTCTGTTTCAATATGGACATTTTTGAGTCCCTTGATATTAAAATACCAAATGCAGTTATAGTGCGTGGTACACCAAAATGTGAATTAGATGAGGTTGAGGATTTTCTGCTCCAATACGGTGCAATAGAGCGCTCTGTTATGATAAACTCAACTGAAAGTGAATACCATGAAATGCTAGTTGTTGAATTTAAAACTACTTCAGCTTTTGATTTATTGGGTCCAATACTGCCATATAAATTTAAACCTTCACAAAACGAATACTGCGTTAAAAATCTGTCAAAAGTTTACGCAGCTAGTTTAGGTTGCTCCAAAACAAAGACTTACCTGGCTGACTTAAAACAAGTGGCTAAGATGTCTGGTCAAGATTTTACTGAAGTCTTACAGGAGCTGATGACCCAGATAAATGAAGCTGTCACTGAACTGTGCCCTTCCTCATCTCAGAGCTGCACTAAGGAACAGTCTACTGCACCACAGCACAAAATGGCCACCGATTCTGTTCCACCACGACTCAAAATGGCTGCCACTCCTGTACCATCCGCCCATAACATGTCTACTGCTGAACTCAATCCACCAGAAGTCCAGAGGTATGTTGTGGAGCACATAGTTAAGAGTGATGATATTGCCATACGTTCATCCCACAGACTGAGGCTGTTTTCTGGAAAAGTCCCCCGCCCACAGCATGAAGTGGACTATGATACCTGGCGCTCTGCTGTGGACCTCATCTTGAAAGACACTGCTATCTCAGAGCTCCAACGGTCCAGATTCATCCTTGACAGCCTTTTGCCACCTGCTGCAGACATTGTGAAACACCTCAGCCCAGATCTACCAGCAGAAATCTACATCCAACATCTTGATTCAGCTTATGGGACAGTACAAGACGGGGAAGAGCTCTATGTCAAATTTATGGACACTTTACAAGACTCAGGGGAAAAACCATCTGCATACCTACAGCGATTACAAGTAGCCCTGAGCCTAGCCGTAAAGCGGGGAGGAGTGAAGCAGAGCGACGTAAACAGACACCTGCTCAGTCAGTTTTGCAGAGGATGCTGGGATAATAGCCTCATCTCCGAGCTCCAGCTGAAGCAGAGAAAAGCAAACCCACCTTCTTTTGCTGAACTGTTATTGTTATTAAGAACTGAAGAAGATCGTGAAGCATGTAAAGCCCAGCGGATGAGACAACACCTCGGAACAACTAAACAAAAAGCTGCTGCTCAAGCTCAGTTTGTAGTAGAAGAAGATGGAGTTTCTGCTGCTCTATCCTCACTCACAAAACAAATAGCTGACATACAGAAACAACTTGCCGCTCTAACAGCCTCCCAGTCTGCTCAGTCCCGCCCATCGTATCCTCTAAGAGGGCCTCCAGTCCCAAAGCTGCAAACGAGACAAAGAATAGCTCCAAAAGCCCGATCATCAAGTCCAAAGCCTGGTTTCTGTTTCCGTTGTGGAGAAGATGGACACATTAAGCCACAATGTGAGAACCGTCCCAACCCAGCACTCGTTAGCTCCAAACGTAAACAGTTCAATGATAAGAAGCAAAGGTGGCAACCACAAAACCAATATTCAAATGAACATTTAAACTAACTTCAGTTCCTGTCGTGGGACATACAGGAACTGTGCAGGACCCACACTGTCCCGCCAACAAACCGAAGAAACATGCTTGCTGTGCAGAACTACAACAGCCCAGTCCAGGACCAACAACAAGGCTGCCCAAAGGACTTATTGGATCACGATGCACAGCAGAAGTGAACATTGTTGGTCACACTCACCAGTGCCTGCTCGACACCGGATCTCAGGTGACCACAATACCGGTTTCATTTTACAATCGCTATCTTCATGAACAGCCCATCAATCCATTACACAATTTGCTCCAAGTAGAAGGTGCCGCTGGTCACAATGTCCCATACCTTGGCTATGTTGAAATAACCATACAGTTTCCTAAAGAATTCATTGGTGAAGAATACAATATAGCCACACTCGCTCTAGTTGTCCCAGATGCACGACCTGATGTCCCATCTACTGTACTCGTCGGCATGAACACTCTCGAACCGCTGTATGAGCAGTACATTTCTGAACATTCCACATTCCTACCCAGTGCTCATGGTTACAGAGCTGTCTTGAAGACACTACAGTTGTCACACCAGCAGAAGGATCAAGGCAACATCGGAGTTGTGAGGCTTCTCAGCAAGACCCCAGTGCGTGTTCCGGCCGGCCGCACTATTGTCATCGAGGGCTCAGCCAAAGTCTCCTCTCCACCATCCAGCCAGAGTGTCCTCCTTCAACATCCTGCCTCCACCCTGCCCGGTGGCCTGTGTGTCAGCAGCTGTCTCATATCTCTTCCGGCTCTTCCACCATGCAAGGTCCCTGTGGTCATCACCAATGAATCACAGCAAGACACATTCATTCCACCATATAGTATCATTGCTGATTTAGAGGCATACCACTGCGTCCTCTCCGAACAGCAAGTGACCCATCTTCCAGCTGAGAAACCATCATTCAGCCTTAATATCAACTTCAGTGATTCTCCACTGTCACCGGAGTGGAAGAAGAGGGTTACTGAGAAACTGGAAGCTGTCACAGAGGTATTTTCGCAGCATGATCTGGATTTTGGATGCACAACTGCTGTTAAACACCACATTCCACTCCACGACAATACACCATTCAAACAACGTGCCCGGCCAGTCCACCCGCAGGATATCGAAGCTGTCCGCCGACATCTACGGGAGCTTTTGGAAGCCGGTGTAATACGGGAGTCGTCATCATCCTTCTCATCTCCTGTCGTGGTGGTTCGGAAAAAGAACGGCGATGTCAGACTGTGTATCGACTACCGCAAATTAAACCTCCAGACCATAAAAGACGCGTATGCTCTACCAAACCTTGAAGAATCATTTTCAGCCCTTTCTGGATCCAAGTGGTTCTCAGTGCTAGATCTGAAATCCGGTTATTACCAAATTGAAATGTCAGAGGAAGATAAGCCCAAGACTGCCTTCGTTACTCCCCTTGGGTTTTGGGAGTTTAACCGGATGCCTCAAGGTGTCACGAACGCACCGAGCACATTCCAGCGCCTAATGGAGCGGTGCATGGGAGATCTCCATCTGAAGGAGGTGCTTGTGTTTTTGGATGACCTCATCATTTATTCAGACACTTTGGAGGAGCACGAACGCCGACTACTGAGAGTCCTGGACCGGCTACGACAATACGGACTGAAGCTATCACTTGAGAAATGTAGATTCTTCCAGAAATCTGTGCGTTACTTGGGACACATTGTATCAGAGCGAGGAGTGGAAACCGACCCAGAGAAAATTGAAACCATAAAGACCTGGCCAATTCCCACCACACTCAGACAATTAAGATCATTTCTGGGCTTTCGCGGGATATTATCGCCGCTTCATCAAGGATTACGCCATCATAGCTAAGCCACTTAATAATCTCACTCGGGGTTATGCACCAGCTCGAAAATTAAAGAAACCGGGACCGAATAAAACACCGACCTACAGTCTGAGCCAACCGTTTGGAGAGCGATGGACTCCCAGCTGCCAGCTTGCCTTTGAGACCCTGATCAAGAGTCTTACCACTGCTCCAGTCCTCGGGTTTGCAGACTCCTCACGCCCCTACATCCTCCACACTGATGCCAGTGTGACTGGGTTAGGAGCTGCATTATACCAGGAGCAAGAGGGGAAGCTGAGGGTCATCGCCTATGCCAGCCGAGGGTTATCGCAGAGTGAGAGCCATTACCCAGCCCATAAACTGGAATTTCTTGCCCTTAAATGGAGCGTGACGGAGAAGTTCCAAGACTATTTGTACGGAGCAGAGTTCACTGTGGTTACGGACAGCAACCCACTCACCTACATCTTAACTTCCGCCAAGTTGGATGCTACAGGTCATCGCTGGTTGGCTGCCTTATCCACCTACTCCTTCAAGCTGTTGTATCGGGCTGGCAAGCAAAACATTGATGCAGACGCTCTCTCACGACGCCCTCACCAGTGCTCCATAAATGAAACCCGTCAAGACCATGAACTCATCCACCAGTTCATCTCCCAGCATACAGCAGACTCCAATACCATCTCCGAAGACATCGTGAACGCCATCTGCCAATACCATCTGGTCCGAGCTATACCACCTGAGGATCATGGTCAGATCGGTTTCACCCTCGTTGAGTCGCTGTCAACCAATGCTGACGTCATACCTGACAATTATGGCTCTGAAGGTCTCCACCAGTTGCCACTCATCCCTGCTCTCGACATCGAGGAAAAACAACAGGCTGATCCGTGTATTCGAGAGCTCATCCACCAACTGCAGACGGGGGAGAAGATCCCACCGATGGCCAGAGTAGAGCTCCCTGAACTTCCTCTCCTGCTACGAGAGTGGTCCAAGTTGGAGCTGGTGGATGGGATACTGTACCGGAGGAGACGAGAAAATGACAACCTCTCATACCAACTCGTCCTCCCAGAAGATCTGCGTCCACTCGTCCTACGTAGCCTCCATGATGACATGGGCCACATGGGGATCGAACGTACACTCGACCTTGTCCGTACCAGATTCTACTGGCCCAAGATGGCGCAGGACGTGGAGCAGAAAATTAAAACCTGTGGCCGCTGTGTGCGAAGAAAAGCCCTGCCGGAGAGAGCCGCCCCACTAGTCAGCATTTCAACATCACGACCGCTAGAACTTGTGTGCATGGATTTCCTCAGTATTGAACCTGATTCCAGCAATACCCAAAACATTCTAGTCCTTACCGACCACTTCACCAAATTCGCCGTTGCCATTCCCACACCCAACCAAACTGCAAAAACTGTGGCAAAAACATTATGGGAGAACTTTATCACTTACTATGGCATTCCAGAGCGAATTCATACAGACCAAGGACAAGATTTCGAATCAAAGTTAATTAAGGAACTTTGTGAGGTTGCTGGCATTCAGAAGAGTCGCACAACGCCATACCATCCAAGAGGAAATCCTGTGGAGCGTTTCAATCGGACGTTGTTAGCAATGCTGGGCACACTGGAGCACAAACAAAAGACAAGGTGGAAGGAACATGTCAAACCGCTGGTTCACGCTTACAATTGCACCAGGAACGAGGTTACTGGATTTACTCCCTACGAATTAATGTTCGGAAGGACTCCTCGATTACCTGTTGACATTGCATTCGGTCTACCATTGCGTGAGCCTCAGTACAAGAATCACTCTCAATATATTCAATCCCTTAAATCCAGACTTCAAGAAAGCTTCAAAGTTGCTTCTGAAAATTCATCCAAATCTGCCGATCGGAACAAGGCCCGGTTCGACAACCGCGTGATACCATCAGCCTTGGTACCAGGAGATCGTGTGCTCGTCAGAAATGTCCGCCTACGAGGGAAGCAGAAGCTCTCCGACAAGTGGGAACAAGAAGTCTATGTCGTGGTCCACAGAGCTGGAGACCTTCCAGTCTATAAAGTGAAGCCGGAAAGTGGCGATGGACCAATGCGGACACTGCACAGAGACCTCCTTTTGCCATGTGCCTTTCTTAAGGACGGTGACGAAAACCTGCAGCCTGAAAATTACTCACCTGTCCACAGACCCAGAACCCGGCAGCAAAGCAACATTCCCAGCCTTCCTGCAGACACTCCTGCTGATGACGAAGATGCAGAGAGCCTTGGCATCATACCACCTAAATCCACATCCATTCCATTTTACAGTGGAGAGACAGCACAACATTCCTGTCATGGATCCACCCACTGAAAATGAGAGCCAAGGACCGCCAGCCTCTGAACACCCTGCTGAAGCTGAGGAACAGAGAGAGCCACAATCTTCTCCTTCTAGTACCCCAGCTACTGTCATAGAGCCCAGCAGTGCTCAATCTGTGTCTGACATGGAAGAGGAAGTACGAGAAGCTCTGGAAAATCAAACAGAAACTGAAGAAAACCATAATGATGTACCTGTAAACTTACCTGCTGAAAACCCTACCGAAGAGTCTGTTGCAAATTCCACTGAAGATCATCCTGGAGAGTCCAATCCAGATGAGCCACATGACAATGACTCTGACGTAGCAGACTTAACCCTACGACGTTCACAACGCCAAAGGGCACAACCGCAAAGACTCCAATATTCCACCGTCGGTAATCCGCTAGTATCCGTAGTACAAACCATGTTACATAGCCTCTCAAACGCATTAGGTGTCACTACTAATGCCGATATTCGTCTTTCGTCCGTTCACATAGTTTAGTTTTACCGTGCAACGGGACGTGCACCATTTAAGGCGGGGAGGATGTAACCCAGGTTTATTATACACAAATCTAAGCAATAGCGAATATTCCAGCAGCGACCGGTCATTAAACGCATCACGCGCACGCTCACGTTTTCAGTAAGTCACCTGCTCCCCTCCCTCCATACACACCCGGGAGTGAGGCGAGACAGGACGGCTGCACAGGTATGGAGCTACCATCGCAAATTTTCTCATTGTGTAACATCGATTGTTCGCAAGCTTACGCTTATTTATGTAATATTACAGGAGCCCTTACCGCAACTATCTGACGTCGAAAAGACCGAATTATATGATAGCTCAGAGGAATTGGTGAGTCTGTCTGTTTTGTTTTGGTTGTTGCCGCTAGCATGCCAATAGCCTCCGCCGCTAACTCATTCATGTATTGCAGGCTATTGGTATGCTAATATCGTCTATTGTTCATTTATTGTTCATGTCATTTTACTACTTGTGTGGACTGAAATACAGTGTACATATGAATTAAGCTAGCTAGCAGATACATTATTAATCAGAGTTACCGATAGCTATGGCTAATAGCTAATCAGCCGAACTGTATTTTATTAAGACTGGTACTGTTATTTATCACAGGCCAGGTGATTTCGGATGAGAAAAACCATCCCGATGGCGAGCTGAACCCAGGAACGTTGCCTACAACTAAAGACACTTCCAACAGTTTCTACGGTCGGGTAGGGGCTGTTGTAGCCAGTCCGCTCCCGCATTATCCCTACGCAACCCGCGTTTGGACAATTACACTTACACACACCTTAAAAGACTATACGCACACTTCTACACGAAGTGCGGACATTAAATTTCACCCTTTGGTTTTGACAATGATAAAGGACATTAACAAAGTGCCTTGTCCACCACTCCTGTTTCCCATTGTTCACTTGTATTAACCAAACGTGAGGAAATCTGAAGAGCATTGTAAATGTTGTAAATAGTGTATATATATATATATCTTTTTCACCTTTTCAATATAAAATACCAATCCATATCTCTCTAGTTTGTTGTGCTTTTTACTGGTTCCCTACCTCCCAGAGAGCCACAGCCTAGCCTTCTGTTTTCTAGCCCGTACCTACACCAACTCCACCCCTTTGTCCCTTGCATACCCCTTCTTGATACCAGCTCATCAAGTCGCACTCTCAGGCACTTGTTTCCGTAAAACTCCTCATGTCCACCAGAGGGCGACCTCTCTCCACTCCTGAACCTGAGTCAAGGACTAAACCTGGACTAAACCTGGACTAAACCTGGACTAAACCTGGACTAACCTGGACTAAACCTGGACTAAACCTGGACTAAACCAGGACTAAACCAGAACTAAACCAGGAGTAAACTAAAACTAACCAGAACTGAACCAGGACTAAACTAAAACTAACCAGGACTAAACCAGGACTAAACCAGGACTAAACCAGGACTAAACAAGGACTAAAATAAAACTAACCCAGACTAAACCAGAACAAACCAGGACTCAACCAGAACTAAACCAGGACTAAACTAAAACTAACCCTGACTAAACCAGGACTAAACCAGGACTAAACCAGAACTAAACCAGGACTAAACTAAAACTAACCAGAACTAAACCAGGACTAAACCAGAACTAAACCAGGACTAAACTAAAACTAAACCAGAACTAAACCAGGACTAAACTAAAACAAACCAGGACTAAACCAGAACTAAACCAGGACTAAACCAGAACTAACCAGGACTCAACTAGAACTAAACCAGGACTAAACTAAAACTAACCAGAACTAAACCAGAACTAAACCAGGACTAAACCAGAACTAACCAGGACTCAACTAGAACTAAACCAGGACTAAACTAAAACTAACCAGAACTAAACCACGTTTAAACCAGAACTAAACCAGGTCTAAACCAGAGCTAGACTAGGACTATACTTATTACCAAACCAGTGGTACCAAGTGTAAATCAGGTAAAAACCAGGATTAAACCAGGACTAAAACAGAACTAAATCACAACAAAACCAAGACTACATCAGGACTAAAAGACACAGACACAAAGAAACAAATAAAACAACAGAATAAAACCTAAAGGGCCTAAGACAGAACTAAAAGTGTAGGCTAAATAAAGTACCAGAACTAAACCAGGACTAAACCAGGACTAAAGCAGGTCTAGACTGATGGTGATGGTGCCTCTGTGCTCTGTCAGGTCGGAGTGGATCTGGAGATGTTGGTGCTTCAAAGTTTCTCACCAAGGGATTTCTGAATTCTACGTGTTTGGCTGAATGACTAAAATTTGAGGAATCATCATTTTGCTCTAATAAATGGACAATGGTTTATGTTTTATTGGCAGTTAAAACATCTGAGGCTGAGAGTGACTTTTATAAACATTCACATTCTTGTGACCAATAAAAAGAGAAAGTCTCTACACATGTACACACATGTACACACATGTACACACATGTACACACACATGTACACACACATGTACACACACATGTACACACACATGTACACACACATGTACACACATGTACACACACGTGTACACACACACGTGTACACACACATGTACACACACGTGTACACACACACGTGTACACACACGTACACACATGTACACACACATGTACACACATGTACACACACACAGGTACACACACAGGTACACACACAGGTACACACACATGTACACACACGTGTACACACACGTGTACACACACAGGTACACACACAGGTACACACACAGGTACACACACACATGTACACACATGTACACACACATGTACACACACATGTACACCACACATGTACACACACATGTGTACACACACACACATGTACACACACATGTACACACACGTACACACACATGTACACACACATGTACACACACATGCACACACACAGTACCCACACAGTACCATGTGACATCACAAGGTGGAACAGAGTGTTTTTGTTTTTGTTTGAGAGAAGATCTCAGTCTAAATCTGCAGGTTTGTGTGTTAAACATGTGAATGAAACAAAACATCTCCAAATCCAGTTCAGTCTGTATAATGTAAAACTCCTCATGTCCACCAGAGGGCGACCTCTCTCCACTCCTGAACCTGAGTCAAGGACTAAACCAGGACTAAACCAGGACTAAACCAGGACTAAACCAGAACTAAACCAGAACTAACCAGAACTAAACCAGGACTAAACCAGGACTAAACTAAAACTAACCAGAACTAAACCAGGACTAAACTAAAACTAACCAGAACTAAACTTGAACTAACCAGGACTAAACCGGAACTAAACCAGGACTAAACCGGAACTAAACCAGGACTAAACCGGAACTAAACCAGGACTAAACCAGAACTAAACCAGGACTAAACCAGAACTAAACCAGAACTAAACCAGGTGTAAACCAGGTCTGAACCAGGACTAAACCAGTGCCAAACCACTTTTTTTTTTGACTGTCACTCACAATCGATCATCCTAAACTCCTTGTGACTCTCGTACAATTTCTCCTGTACTTTGGTCGCAGTTTTGCAGATGTTTGTGACTTTCTTCAGGTTGGTTTTGTAGCCGTCGTCTCCCAGGATGATGGAGTTGCACTTCTTGCACCTCATGTTGAGAGTCTTAAAGTGAATAAGATACATTAGGGTAATTTTTCTCCATAAGATAGTTAACGTCATTATATTTAAGATTCTATTTGTCTTTTTAAAAATACTTTTACTTCCTGGTTTTACACAGACAGCAGATATGACACATGTAAATGTAATTACAGTTTTATTAGCAGCAACAATAATGTTAACAAGGGCCAAAACTAGTCTAAATTTAACACTTGTTATGATTAGACTAATACAAATAAAATCTCTGTCTGGTTGGAGTGGATCTGGAGATGTTTGTGCTTCTGGTCCAAAAGCAGAAGTGATGTTGATGTGTTTAAATTGGTCGTTTAACATAATTTTCCTGTTTACCTCACACCTCTCACAAGTGACATTCGCTAGAAGAGAAAATAAAAATAAAACACCTTAACTTAACCACAACAGATCTGGTTTTATTGTGAATTTTAGAACCTTAAGACAAAGGAAAAGATCACGTCCATCTTCTATAACACGATGGGAGATTTACTGTTTTTAAAAGAAATATCCAAATCTACAAATGTTTGACTCTTAACATTATTTTTAGCATTATTATAATATAACATTATTATTCCAAAACTGTGTATTTACCAGAGACCAGGGAGCTTCCAGTTGTACTTCAAAGTTTCTCACCAAGGGATTTCTGAATTCTACGTGTTTTGCTGAATGACTAAAATTTGAGGAATCACCATTTTGCTCTAATAAATGGACAATGGTTTATGTTTTATTGGCAGTTAAAGCATCTGAGGCTGAGAGTGACTTTTATAAACATTCACATTCTTGTGACCAATAAAAAGAGAAAGTCTCTACACATGTACACACATGTACACACATGTACACACATGTACACACATGTACACACACATGTACACACGTACACACATGTACACACATGTACACACATGTACACACACATGTACACACACATGTACACACACATGTACACACACATGTACACACACATGTACACACATGTACACACACACATGTACACACATGTACACACACATGTACACACACGTGTACACACACGTGTACACACACACGTACACACACACGTTGTACACACACACGTGTACACACACACATGTACACACACACACGTGTACACACACATGTACACACATGACATCACAAGGTGGAACAGATTGTTTTTGTTTTTGTTTGAGAGAAGATCTCAGTCTAAATCTGCAGGTTTGTGTGTTAAACATGTGAATGAAACAAAACATCTCCAAATCCAGTTCAGTCTGTATAATGTAAAACTCCTCATGTCCACCAGAGGGCGACCTCTCTCCACTCCTGAACCTGAGTCAAGGACTAAACCTGGACTAAACCAGGACTAAACCAGGACTAAACCAGACTAACCAGAACTAACCAGAACTAAACCAGACTAAACCAGGACTAAACTAAAACTAACCAGACTAAACCAGGACTAAACTAAAACTAACCAGAACTAAACAACTAACCAGGACTAAAGACTAAACCAGGACTAAACCGGAACTAAACCAGGACTAAACCGGAACTAAACCAGGACTAAACTAGAACTAAACTAGAACTAAAGCAGAACTAAACCAAGACTAAACCAGGTCTAAAACAGGACTCATCCAGGGATAAACCACTTTTAGAGAGAGGGGAGAAAACAGAAGGTGACAGGAAAGGAAAGAGAGGAAGAAAAGTGAGAGAGGAGTGGACTATAAGAGAGGAGGCAAGAAGAGGGGAGAGGAGTAGAAAAGGAGAGAGAGGTGTTAGAGAGGAGAGGAGGAAAGAAGAGAGGATCTGTAAGTGTTTTTGTTTTTTCTGCAGTAGATGTCACCTGTGAAATCTCACCTGACCCCTCCCCTCACCTGACCCCTCACCTCCCCTGACCCCTCCCCTGACCCCTCCCCTCACTTGACCCCTCACCTGACCCCTCCCCCTCCTGGTTGTATCAAACAGAACAGTCAGTAATACAGATGCTGCTTTAATGATTCAAAAGGGAAATGACTTAATGCAGAGAAACATGAGGCTGAAACACATAAGTGATCTCATGTAAAGCAGGTAATAAACAAAGTGTGTTAGATTATTTTTAGTACTGAAAATGCACTGGTAGCCCGTTATCACAGGTCACGGTGATCTTCTTCTTCATTATGTTCTTCTTCTCCACCTTGTTGTATTCTGCAGTTGGGTGGGTAGTCTCCAGACTCCAGATTGCAATCGATCACGTTAAACTCCTTTATACTCTCGAACAAATTCCCCCCTTTTGGGGTCCCACCATATTGTTTGCAGATGTTTGTGACGTCGTTCAAGTTGGTTTCGAAGCCGTTGTCTCCCAGGATGATGGTGTTGTGGTGCTTGCACTCCATGTCCGGATACTTAAAGTGAATAAGACACATTAGGGTAATTTTTCACCATAACATAATTAACATCATTATATTTAAGATTCTACTATTTAATTTTTTATAAAATACTTTAAACTTCCTGGTTATAAACAGACAGCAGATTTGACACATAAATGTATTTACAGTTCTGTTATGTAGTCACCATAATGTTAACAAGGGCCAAAGTTAAATTATACACTAGTTATGATTAGACTAATACAAATAAAATGAAACAGAAATCACAGACCAAAGGTCTTGTTGAGATGCAAATGTAAGAAACAGCAATATAAAAATGAAAAAATACACAGCAAACTCAGAAAGCCAAAAGCTTTTTTTAATTTAAAATTACGTTTTGGCAAAATGTTGCGGCTTTTTTTGCCGAAATGTACTTTTAAAATACAAAAACCTTTTGGACATCGACTGTCTGAGTGTGCTGTGCATTTTTTAATAAAAATAAACAACAGCACCTTTATTTAGTTAAATTAATGTTTAATCTGTAAAATGTGTAACTGGTTAATTCTACCCAGAGGAACAGTTGGTTTGATCATTTCTGCTCTAATATAATCATTATGAGTTTATAAAGTGTTTGACCTGTTGTCAGTGACGTCCACCCACAGCTCTCTGTCCACTGTCTGATCTGTCAGGATTTACTGATTTTAGTGTGACTCTGTAAAAACCTCATGAGGATTATATTAGAGCAGAAACAGCTTCACTGATCTTCCCTCTGGAAGAACATCTCAGACATGGGCAGAGGAGTCCCAAACCAAGTCATAATTAGAAAAACATATTAACCTTTTGATACACTGCTTTCATGAACCTGGTACAGCTCTTTAGAATGTTTCCACTGAAGGTGTGCTGCAGCTTAAACTTATAATAGGTTCCTTGGGAGAGAACCGGAGGCAGAGCCAGAGGAACCAGCAGAAGGTAGAGCAGGAACACGGCCATATCTGAGGAGACCAAGAAGATAAAACAGGTTCATAACACAGATAATATATCAGGGCTGAATCAAGACTACACAAAGACAAAACCAGGTCTAAACCAGAGCTAGACTAGGACTAATACTTATTACCAAACCAGTGGTACCAAGTGTAAATCAGGGAAAAACCAAGATTAAACCAGGACTAAAACAGAACTAAACCACAACAAAACCAAGACTACATCAGGACTAAAAGACAGACACTGAAAGAAACAAAGAAAACTAGAGTAAACCTAAAGGGCCTAAGACAGAACTAAAAGTGTAGGCTAAATAAAGTACCAGAACTAAACCAGGACTAAAGCAGGTCTAAAGAAGGTCTAGGCTGATGGTGATGGTACCTCTGTGCTCTGTCGGGTCAGAGTGGATCTAGTGATGTTTGTGCTTCTGGTCCAAAAGCCGAAGTGATGTTGATGTGTTTAAATCGATCATTTAACATCAGCTTCCTGTTTACCTCACACCTCTCACAAGTGTCATTTGCTAGAAGAGAAAATAAAAATAAAACAGCTCATCTTATTTCAAAACAAGTCTGGTTTTATTGTGGATTTTAGAACCTTAAGACAAAGGAAAAGATCACGTCCATCTTCTATAACACGATGGGAGATTTACTGTTTTTAAAAGAAATATCCAAATCTACAAATGTTTGACTCTTAACATTATTTTTAGCATTATTATAATATAACATTATTATTCCAAAACTGTGTATTTACCAGAGACCAGGGAGCTTCCAGTTGTACTTCAAAGTTTCTCACCAAGGGATTTCTGATTCTACGTGTTTGGCTGAATGACTAAAATTTGAGGAATCACCATTTTGCTCTAATAAATGGACAATGGTTTATGTTTTATTGGCAGTTAAAGCATCTGAGGCTGAGAGTGACTTTTATAAACATTCACATTCTTGTGACCAATAAAAAGAGACAATGTGTACACACATGTACGCACACATGTACACACATGTACACACACATGTACACACATGTACACACATGTACACACAGGTGTACACACATGTACACACACATGTACACACACATGTACACACACATGTACACACACATGTACACACATGTACACACACATGTACACACACATGTACACACACATGTACACACATGTGTACACACACATGTACACACATGTACACACACATGTACACACACATGTACACACATGTACACACACACACATGTACACACATGTACACATGTACACACATGTACACACATGTACACGCACATGTACACACACGTACACACATGTACACACATGTACACACATGTACACATGTACACGCACATGTACACACATGTACACACATGTACACACAGTACATGAGCGTGGGGTAAACTGTATATCAAATGTTACTAGAATGTCAGTGTTATGTATTTTGTTTTATAGGCTCAGACGTTGATGAGCGAAACCCCATTTTTTGTTTGTACCAGTTTCACCAATTACAAAATGAAAATGGATACAGAGTGATCAGTTTGTAATATGACGTCTTGAAAATAAGTGATTAAAGATGCACAAATCACTCCAAATAGAAGTTCAGAAGGTAAATGAGAAGAACAGTCAATTTTGCTGAATAAGTCTGATTGAATAAATGATTTTGTAGCTCTTCAATATAACCTAATCAATGAACCATTTTGTGTTGATTTAGAGTTGTCACGTGGAGATGCCCTCAGCTTTCTTCTTCAGGTGCAGGTTGCAGCTCTCATCTTCCCCTTTTATAATCAGGAGACGTACATCTGTGGACAACATGACATTGCAAATTTCAACAAACAAACAATTTGATGAAATTATCAAATTGATTTTAAATCGTTCTTAATCATAATCTTAAATATTAATTTCTTCTCGCTTCGTGAGCTTTTTGTTTCTTTTATTTAAAATAATATATCATTATATAATTTTAGTTTGTTTACAATTTGCGATGTCACATCCTCCACAGATGTACGTCTTCTGATTATAAAGGGGAAGAGGAACACTGCCACCTTCACCCTGAAGAAGGAAGCTGAGGACATCTACACCAGGGAACTCAGCACAAAATATTTTTAGCCACAAAAAGGGCCCATATTGCACTGTTTTCTGATCTGTTATAGTGTTGTTTCCTCATCACAAACAGACCTGGAGTTGTGTTTTGTTTCATTGAGTGTGTTTACATCAACATCAGTATCCTGTTATTAGCCATATCCCGGTTATGTCAGTATTCGGGACACTGTGCATACATGTGCTCTGAGAAACCGGGATACTCATATCCCTGTGTTCAGGATCAAATGGAGTATCTCAATTCTTCTTTGTAAGATTCTTGACATAATCTTACAAATGTGCTTGGGAGGTTTCTAACCAGCGTAAGGAGCTCTGAGGTATCCCACAATCCACTGCAGATCAAACCGAATGTTTCCAAACATCGTAAAAGTTCTACACTTCAGCAGATTCTTCATTAAAATCTTCTGCATAAATAAACTCAACTTTACAACATATAAACCATCACCACCATAGAGCCACATCAGCCCGTTTGTTAATATAATGGAGCTTTGACACATTTGTTTACATTTTACAGAAACAAAACTTATAACCACAGAGCTAATTTGCATGAACTGTTAGAGCTGAAAAAACCTTCTCTTTCCTCGTGTTCTTTCTGTGACAGAGGATGTGCTGCTGATGGTGAGTCTGTTCTTTGTGTATATCACGTTGGAGATGGTTCATGTTTAACTTTTCTGAGATCATACAGTATAATACTGGGCTCATCATCACCAGTTCATCACATCGTACTCATTCATTGTTCGACCATGGCCATGCCAACTCTTCCCTGTGGCCATCGCGCTGTGGCCGTGTCTCTGTCCCCACTAGTGCCTCACTCTCTGACTGCCTCCTCCTCGGCCTGGGACCTGCTGTGGCCCCTGCTCCTGCGCAGTCTCCGGGCCTCAGTGTCACGGCCTTTCCCTGTCCTCTTTCCCTTTGCCTTCCCTTTGGGCGGCATCTTGTCGGAAAAAATTTGGTGTGTACAGTACGGCTGCTACGACTCGTGTGTGCCCGCACAGGCATCGCATCAGCTTTTATACGGGTCGCGTGAGGCGTGCACGTGACCTGTAGGAACAATGCAATTGGCGACACACCTGCGTGACACGTATTTGACCCACACTTCCCCTGTAAGTGTAGAGATACGTGTTTGCTACGAGGTGCCGCCCATAGGACGCTCGCAGGAAAAAATGTGCATGACATTTCCTCCCTACGGCTCACCGGGCGTCTACGAGCTTGGAATCTGTACGAGCCACTTGGAGCCCCATACAGACTTGGCCAAAAATCGCCCGTGAACCGCCCGTGGGGACCAGTGCAGTTATTGTGACTAAGGCTTCGATCATTTCACTCATGTGCAGTCACTTTATTTATGTCACTACTGTAGTGGTGAAAAGACTGAAAAGTGTTTGTCGTTTGGACACCTGCTCACTCAACTGCTGGGCTCGACATTAACGGTTGTCCGCTTTCCCGGGGCAACTGAACACTTGGAGCGGGCAAGTGCGTTTTTCCTCCGAGTTGCCGTTTCGGGCAAGCGATCATCTGCAAATTAATTCATGATGTCATGGTTTAAGACACAGATTTCCCGCGCTGAGAGTAACTGGACGCCGTGTTAACAGCACGCACGTGCCGTTAACCAATCAGAAATGTGAACGTGCGTATGTGAGCCAATCAGAGTCTATGTTTATTGGCAGAGCTACTCTGTGAAACACTTCGGCAAAAGAATACAAGCACTGAGAAAATGTTTTCTTCAGCCACCAAAACCTGGCCAAATGCCAGGAAAGGCCAACAAGCGAACACAAAATCATTACAAATGAGGCTCCGGCAACTTCTTATGAAGCAAAGCGCAAGCGAAAGTTCGTACCGTCTTGGTCTGAAAAGTTTCCATGGGTTCGCTACACGAAGAGAAAAAAATGTATGTTGCTATACATGTAGGCAATTCCCACAGATGGCAGACATGTAAGTACTTTTTTATTATTATTATTATTATTACACTAACTAACTGAGGCCTATAGCTACGATATACTCCGACAATCGCTGACCAAACTAGAGACCATAGACCGAGATATGATTGGTTACTTCCTGCCTACTTCTACCGCTAACGTCTGGGTAGAGTATTCATAAAATGTAGGCTACTCATGAAGATTACTTCAGTAGACACAGCAGTGATCAATGAAATGACTCAAGTAGTGCAAAAATGTTTTAGTTTAGTTGCTAATATAGAAGTGTAACCCACAGGCTGTAATACCTGTATAACGAATGCTAGAGACAAGCAATCATTTTGGTCAGTGACTATAAGTAATTTGTCTTATATTTCATCTTCTGTCCTGTGCTTACACTGTGTTTGGTTTTCACAATCGGGAAAACGCAGAGCCAAATGTAAAGTTTACGCAGAAGCACAAATTGATTCACCGCTCCCACCCACTCCAACACGTCAACAAAACAAACTTAAATTCAATGAAGCTGCTACAACTACAAGGGCTACGGTTAAAACACAAACACACGGCATCAGCCCGCTCCTACAGCACACGGCAGAAGAACCGGAGGAGCTCCGAGGCACCCACGAGCTCATTTACGCACTATTTAGGACTACCTGTGAGGCTCCGTCCTCAGACTTCCCAAAGTACAAAAAACACGCATTTACCTTCTCCAGAGGATAAGCAGTGTGTATCCTTTATCCGCTGTCTGATAGCTCTGTCACCAAAAAGTTTTGCTACCCAAATGAAAGACTTGAAACTGGGTCCAAAATCCGGTCCATTCAGGTCGCAACGCGAGGTCCAGGAGCCGAGTGGCTTGAGCTGGTCCTAAACTAGTCCTGATTTGACTTAAATCTGAACGTTACGACTAGCCAATAGTTACATCTAGGGCACCGGACAGACTTTAATCTCTCCGCCAGCTGCGCCCTCCACGCTCAGGTGAAACATTTGCGTGAGTGGGACAAAAGTATAGGGTCCGAAAACTAACATTTCTTAAAGAAATTAAATAACAATAAACTGTACCTCCGCCTCGGTTATGAAAAAATTTGATTCATTTGGCAAAGAATTGTCACTTAAGTATTGTGTAAGACAAAAGGTAGCCTAAAAGGTTAGAAATAAAAAAGTATGTAATTTTCATTAATGGTTAAATATGAATTGGAATAGGTAATTTGTGTGCTACTGTGTCAATGTTGCCTTTTCTTGCAGTTATAGGCCGTTGTTGTTGTTATTAATTTATTAATTAATTTCTTTTTGTGAATTTTCAGCACCTCATCTTTGTGTACACTGGTACAGCATCTTTTTGATACAACATTTTGGAAACCCATGATGCAAGCAGAAGGCAGAGCATTGTTCATGTGCTGCAAGGAGAGACTGCCGGATGCTTCTGTCCCTGCTGTTGTGGAGGGCCTTTTTGAAAATTATGTACCTTGTCTGCCAAAATTGACCAATGTTATGAATACTGCATACTATATAGCCAAACAGGAGCTCCCTTTCACTCAGTTCAACCACTGCTTGGCCTGATTAATCGGACAGGAGGAAAAGTTCCTGAGGCTTATTCAGCAGACAAAGCTTGTGCACGGTGTTGTTTGTCTTTACTTGTTAATTATTAAAATATTATGGTTTGTGTGCTGCGATTAAAATGTCTTTCATGTTATAGATTCATCTGTCATTTATGACATG